AAAAAAATGGCTAAGTTGGAAAATATGTTTTCTAATATAAATTGGTTTTAGAAATGAACTAATTAAAGTCGCTATACTGATGGCGTTTTTTTTTTTTATTCAACTGTAAGTTCAATCAGGACAAAAGAGAAAACGTTTGTTTTTGTTTCTAGCATCTAGATAGTGCCTAACACATGGTAGGTGCTCAATTAAAATCTTTTCAGTGATTAACAAAAATAATTGAATATAAGTTTTGGTCACAGGAAAATTTGCTTATCAAATATTGATTGGTTATTAAAAGAGATATAGAAAAAAATTGTTGTAGCTGAATGTACATTGCCCTTTAGCCTCCTTTTCTGTGGATTGACACTTGATGAGGTCATTATTGTGACTGAACATAGTTGAATAGTTGGTTTTAAAGCCTTCTTGGTCTACCCTTGCATTTACCACTTTGCATTTTTTTTTATTATCTCAAAAAACTAATTGTGTTAACTAGGTTCTGTGATTCCAGTTCTGGTAAGTAGATTCTTGATGCATAGTAAATGGGATAGCAATTCAGAGAGGCTCCTAGAAACTCTTGATACTTAAGAGTTTTATAAAATATCAATATGTTTCATATTTGCTGGTGCAAGGGAATAGGTGAAGAATCTTTGATATACTCTCATGTTTGTGAAATGCTCAGAAGGAAAATTGGGTTTTGTGAGAGACTTCATAAATTTGAGCTCTTATATTCAGGGTGTGAATGCCACCAGCCTGAACTTGAGGGATTTTTTTTTTATCTTTAGAGTGTGAAGCCCACTTGTCAAGGTTCTGTTCAAAATGATGGAATGTTTTCTTTTGTAGCTTTGGGAGTCTAGCCTGTATAGGGTATTTCATTCATAATCAAATCAAATAATTTGGTGATCATAACTAGTGGTTTCTCTTTTTATTTTTTTAATTCAGTTTTTCTTTTTGATTTTGTTTTATTTTGGGGTTCCCCAGTTTACTTGGCAAGTCCATATTGACCACATGTTGTGCTGTTTCTCTGTGCTAGAGATTAAAGAAAAAATAAGATGGTGCCTATCCTTGAGCTCACAGTCTAGTGGGGGAAACAAATGTATTAACAGACAAGTTACAGTGCACCTCATTAAGTGTTTGCATACAGATGAGATTTGAGTGTTACATATGCACGGTTTAGAATTTTAAGGAAGCTCTATATTTATTTTATTATTGATAAAAATAAATATTGCACAGGCTAAATTACGCACATTGATATATATACAAATTGAGAAAAGAAATAAAGGAGAACATTTACTTTTCTAGAAATATTAATTTAGTATGGCCATTCATTTAAAATACAGGACAGGCCTAGATCAGGAGGTCACAATTTGGAACGGCTCTATAGTGGTTATAAAACCTAATACATACCATCGTTGGATGACAACTATTATTTCCATTGTTTTTAATTTTTAAAAATATTTTCTTTCATTTTGTTTAATCATACAAACTTTTGGAATCTTAATATTTTAATTTAGAGCAATATAACATTGTAACTAACCCTAATGAGTAGTTAGATGATGAAATATAGAGAATTTAGTTTTATTTATGTGAGTAGTAAACAAAAAATGCTCACTGCTTATACAGTCTCTACTATAGAAAGCTTTCATTGAAAGGTGATAGTGTAAAAGCAAAAATGTAAAAATATTCAGATTTTAAAATAAAATCCAAATGTTTGAAAAAATGGCTTATCAAGCATTGAATAGTCTTTTGTTATTCATTTATTCTTTCACTGATGTGAAAATATTTATTGAACACATGTATCAGGCTTTGAGATTAAAAAAATAAGACTCAGTTCCTGTTTTAAGAAGCATATGGTCTAGGAGTATGTCAGTTATGCAAGCAATCATAATAGAGTGGGGTAATAGAAATATAAAATTTTAATAAGCTTCAGTAGAAGTATAAGATTGTGATAGGCTCATTGAGAACAAAGCATCTAAGAATCGTTTGGAGCAGCATCAGAAGAGACTTATTTACATTATAATTTAAAGGATTAGAAGTAGTTTATCAGATGGTAAAAATGATAGAGGGCAAGGCAAAGGGATGTGTGCAATGTTTGAGCAATTATATTTGGGCTTAAATGAACATATCTTTGGGAGAGAATCTCAAGAGTTGGAGCTGGAGAGGCAAGGTAGGGACTGAAAGGACTTCCTAATTCAGCTACAAAGCTTCAGTGTTTGTATAGTGAGACAAAAATGGAGAGAGGGAGAACAGTTAAAAGTCCTTTGCAGCAGTGCATGTCAGAGATGCTGATGACAATGGAAGTGAGGCTAGATAGACAGGTAGGTAGGTAGATAGGTAAATGGCTGGCTGGCTGGCTGGCTGGCTGGCTGGATGGATGGATGGATGGATGGATGGATGGATGGATGGATGGAAAGATAAATAGATAGATGATAGAAAGATAGAAAAGATTAAGATATATTGGGATTGGTGATTGGCTCTATGCAGGATGAGTATAATCAGACTTTTTGCTTAGATCCTTGGAAGCAATTACCATTAAGTAGAATATGTAATCAGGAGAAAGGGAAAAAAGAAGACAAGTGTTGTGTAGGTCATGTTACCTGTGCGACACTTAGGTGTAGTATGTTTGGTAGGCAGAAGTCCATGATAGACGTGGTGATCATATAATTTACCATCCAAGCCAGGACACTTTGAGACTGAAAAAGGATGCTCTTATTGATTACACCTGGACAGTAGTCATTCAAGGAATAACCTGAGCAGACAAGGATGACCAGTTAATTTAATGAAAGATCATATCTAATTTCTTATGTTCATGTATAAGAAATTGTGCAGAACAATGAGGAAAATAAGTCTCTTTCTTACTGCCTGTAAACCTGGATCTCAAAAACTTCCATAAATTGAAGGATTTACTTTTTTTTAGAATATTTCGATGAAATGAAAGAGTATGGCCCAATTCATGTTCTGTGGTCAGCGTCAGAAGAAGATCTGGTTGATACGCTAAGTGGTGTTGCCAGCTGCATTGACCAATGCAGTAAGGCCACTGAAAAACGGATGTCTGGACTCTCAGAGGCCCTGCTTCCTGTCGTACACGAGTATGTGCTTTATAGTGAAATGTTAATGGTAAGAATGCCTAATTATACTTTTCACCTTAGTCCCTGACTGACCTGATTATAAGCTTTATAAATGCAGTTTCTATTTCTGTGTTTCACCACTATCCTTCTGTCCTAAAGGGATGCTTTGCATGTAGATGCTCAATGAATGTTTGTTCACTGCACCAATGATTGATGAGTGGAAGGATACCTTACTAAAGACAGGAATATTCAACAGTAACAGTTTATAAGATTTGCATAGATCTGAAGCACCCTCAGCCAAGATTTACACTGGGAATATCATTAGTTTTTCCAGCCTTTTAAAATTTTACTTTAAAATTTTTTAGCGCTTTAGAAATTTCTTTTCCTGAAAGAGTTGCTTTGCCGCTTCCAGGTAGTACATTTGATCTAGCAGTATATTTAGTATTATGTGGAAAGTCCTTGAGTAGGATCTTGATGTTTGTTCTGCCTTCTGGATGCTTCTAAAAAGAAATCCTTCAAATTAAAGTGTTTTTCGTTCACTGTTTGAAAGGCTTTTATTCTTCTTATATCAAAGTTTTGCATTTAACCTCTTCAGTTTAAGTTAAGGTTTCCAGATATTTGGGATTTAGTGATGCTATCTGCAAAGCTAATGTTTTTCATCCATTATTATCCTCTGTTCACAGTACCTTGAACAGTCAAACTGATGCCCTCAGGTTTCAGTGTTTTAGGGTGGTGGTGGGGGAAGGACACAGCTTATATACCCCATTTCATCTGCCATTTATAATTGGAGTCATGTCTGGTTTCGGCTTTTATGTACTCTCAATTTGGGGGGATTTTTTTTTTTTTAATTTTGCTTCTGTCTTGGTAAGAAAAGTTCTCTTACCTTTTTCCCTACATTATTTCAAGTTTTTCTTTTCAAAATGTGTCAGAAATCCACAAGAAACAAAAATTCATATTTTGACTATTTTATGCATGTAATAGTAATAACTTGAGCTGCTTTGTATATAAATGACATTTTTATGTGTAAAAATTTTGGATATATTCATTTGGATATAAACAAATGTCATGGCAAAAGGGTTAGCCTTTCAGCATGAGATCTGCCTCTTTCATGCTTATCATATTTAGGTTTTCCTTTCACAGAGTCATTAAGTGTTTTGTGGATATTTCAGGTTCCTGCTGTTACTTGACTTTATTGGGGTTGTCCATAGACAAACCCTTCCCGCTTCCCGGAGGTCTCTCATGTTTCATGGCTGAGGAGTTTCCTCCTTGTTGCCATCAAGTTCCTTGGCTACATTCCATTGGTTTACTTCATTATTGATCACCTCTCTATGAGGCTGTTCAGAGATCTGATTCATATCATTAAAAATAGTATATTATTGGGCCAGCCGAGTGGCACATTGATTAAGAGTTGGCTTGGGACACCAGCTCTGAGCAGCAGAGCCCCCGGTTCAGATCCCACATATGAGGGCCAGTGACGGTGCGCCCTCTACAGCTAAGATGGTGAACGGCAGCTCAACCTGGAACTGGGCTGCCGTGAGTCGCCGGCGATAGCGTAGGCTGCAGTGGGGTTGCAGTGGGCTGCCATAAGCTACCATGAGGGGCCAGCAGACAGCCCTGAGCCGCAGTGAACGGCCGTCCAATGGCTGGCAAGCGACTGCCTCTCCTGGGAAGAGTGCAATGATAATACCAACATGGGCCAGTGAAGCGACGTCCTCCACAACTAGACTGAAGAACAAAAGGACAGCAACTTGTCTGTTCCCCTTCCCCAATGCTGTTCCCTCCCCCCAATTCCCCAATAAAATCTTTAAAAAAAATAGTAGATTGTTTTTTCTTATTAGATGTGTTTTGCTCTTTATTATCTCAAGATGGAAATTAAGCAATTAAAATAATGTATTGTTAAAGGTGTGGAAAAATTATAATAGCCATTAGAAAGAATTATTTTTTAGGTCCTCATTTGGTTGTGTTATTTTGTAGACTCCTAGGGTATAATCAGTAGCATTTATGTTGCAGTTCTGATTCTGTTTTATATCGGAATTTTTTTTTTAATGTGAGCTAAAATAATGAAAAGTATATGCTTTGACAAAATGATTACATTTGTATAATTTTTACTAGGTGTCCTCTGAAACAACCTCTTCCCTAATTTATTTCTACCTATATGAAGCACAGTACTTAATATTTATGAAAACAGACCTTAAATAAATGAAACTAAATTGTAGTATGTGTCATTTGGGTTAGAAAAGGGAAGAAGTTCCTGACATTAATGACAATTAAACATTGAAGTAAATATATAAGAATTTGTGATAATCAGTTTAATTTTCTATTTATTTCTTTAAAGATGGGAGAAATGTTAATCTCTTTTGAATGTTTTAAGCATGGTTCTACAAACACAGAACTAGACTGAGTAGTTTTCGGGATACTTTTTATCCTTAATGCCTTTCAGTTCTCACTCAAATACTATAGAGCCATCTTATGTGGCCTCCATTTAACTAATTTGTGTCCACGCTCTTCTCTTCCTCTGTAAACACCCCAAAGACCTGTATCTCATTAAGGCCCTTCTCTTATATGTCATGTACTTCCATTCTCCCTTTTGAATCATTTGCTTACTGACTAGTTTTATTTTTTTCTGAGCCTGTTTAGGCAACTTGTGTTCATTATTACAATTTCATTATTTAATTAATACTATGAAAACTAGTGAAAGATGAGTACAAATAAAGAGTCCTTATGTCCATGAAGCCTAAGTATAATAAAATATCTTGGAAGAAAAGTGAGTCACCAAGGGAAAGACATTGTAAAAGACTAGCAGACATTATAAAAGATACAGATGAATTCTTCATTCAGATTCCTTAAGTTTAGCGACACTGAAACATGAAATCATGGTTATTCAAGAAAACAAGATGGAACTCCTATCAATTGGAGAAGAGACCATGATTTCTCATCAAAAGCTTGGCTAATTGACTAATATTTATATTTTTTATGCTAAAATAAAATCTTAAGATGTGAATGCACACTTCAATTTTCAGATTCTCTGCTGTATTTGACTGATTAACCATACCTTTGGAGTTAGATAAAAGGGCTGTCAGTGATTGTAGATATTTTTAGGTGAGTGACCCATGTGACCTCTTAACTGCAATTAGTTTACATCATAGCATATATTTTCAGTGCACCCACTGATTTTGTGTTCATTTGTTTTTTTTCTTTGCTCTCTTTGAAGAACTGTATAAGCCTAGAATGCTCCATCAAAAGTTGTACATAAAATACTTAAACCAGTAAGGTGTGCATTGGGAAAACTAATGCTAAAGGATTTATGAAGAAAATTCTCTTAAGTATTTGCTTTCAGTTTAGTTTTAAAGATTAAAAAATATTTTTTAAGTCATTATGTCCCCAAGTGAATGATGACTTGGGTAAGAGATGCTGTTTATATTCTGAAATGCATATTCTTGTTATACAAAGATTATTAAATCTTTGTGTTTTAATATGAAGGGTGTTATGAAGAGAAGAGACCAAATGCAAGCCGAATTGGATTCCAAAGTTGAAGCTTTGACCTATAAAAAGGCAGATACTGATCTGGTAAGTTTTTAAGTTTTCTGATATAATTATATAGAATTTGTTATCTAAAATATTGATTAGCAGTGAAGAACTTCATCACATGCTTGTTTTTAAGCATTCAGCAAAGGATACGAGTACTAAAATTTCTCCCCCAAATCTATTATACATCAAGTACCCAGTGAGTCTGCAAACTTAACAATGATGCTTTTCTGTCTTTCTGTCTTATGCTGTCTCTTATGATGAGTAAAATATGAAGTTACATTTTGTTTTTTTAATTAGTGTTAGAAGAAGGTATGGAAAATACCTAGCATTGTTCTAGAAGAACAGTAAGTACTCAGTATATAAATCCACTCTTTATCTAGTTTTATAAGACATTTGTACAAAATAAGTTGGTGTTCCTATACATTTTTTCTAGTTATTGTAAAAACCTTTACAAAGGAGAGGTATCTTTGTTTTCAAGTTTAATCCTTTTCTTAAAATACTTTTTTAATGGAAATTTTCAAAGATAAGACAAGGTCCAGTAATATAATGGATTCATATACATCTCACTGGACTTCATTAATTCCCAACATTTTGCCCAACTATTTTCATCTCTTTTCTCACTTTTTTTTTTCCCTGAAGGGTTCTAAAGGGACACTTTTTTGTTCCAGACATTATAATTCCAGACATGATATTATCACCCACAATATTTTAGTATTTATATTTTATTGTCTTTGCATATTTTCAGAATAATACTATCTGAATAGATTCGTATTCTCATTTTAAAATTGGGGGAGAGGCTTGGAAAGTGGAACAACAGGGTCAAGTTCTACGGTTTTGAAACAGAAGTGGGGTTGGGAGTAATGGTAGCACTTGATTCCCTTAGATCAAGTGGTTTCTTAGAAAGCAAATATGAAATGGGTAAAATTGACTGTTATTTTGATTAACTCTACTTTTTCTCTATGAACGAGACTTTCTTAATCATTTTTAAACTTTTTTTTATTTAAGGGTTTCGATTACTAATGAGTACAGTTACAGCAGATGAGTAGGAGAGTCCTTAAAACTCCTCTGTTATCAGTAGTATTATCATCCCTATCTGAACCTGACTTGGGATTCGGCCTACCTTCTCCCTGCTTTGATTTTCTCCCTAGCTTTAATCATTTTCTAACACAAGATATGATTTCCTTATTGGTTCTTCTTTATATTATCTTTCTTTCTCTTCTTGTCTATAATCAAAGCACCTTAAGGGCAGGAAAGTTTTGTTTCCTGAAATGTTCTCAGCTCCTATAACAGTACTTGGTACTTGGCAGTCCCTCAATAAATATTTTGTGAATGAATAAATGAAAATTGCAATGACTGCTCTGATTCATAAAAACATACTGAAGGCTTGAAACAAGAAGTCTACAAAAATCAGACTTTGTGTAAAACACTGAGACTTCATTAAAAACTGAGACTGAATTATCCTCATCTTCCTTGACTGTATTTCTTTTTCTAACTCAAGTTCATTCTCCTGAATGGGCTGTAGGGGGGGGAGTGGTGGGCTGCTGTGGACAGAGCAGGAGAATGGAGGCTCTGAGGGAGAATAACAGGAAATGGAGACGCAGTGGAACTAATGCTCGAGGGGAAAAATCATCTTTTCTTTTACCGCAAAATGAGGAAAATAGAAAACCTAATATTAACTTTTTTTCATTCAATAAGGTGTGTGTGTGTGTGTGTGTGTGTGTGTGTGTGTGTGTGTGTGTGTGTTTAATTTAAAGAGTCAACTGGAAGGAATAAGCAAGGGTGGACACATGTACAGAACTTGTATCTTTTGAACTGTAGATTTTTTTTATTTGTTAAATAATTTTTAAAGATATTGAAATTACTGATTACATAAAATTTTGCCCTTGAGTAAATACTAGAAAAAGTAAATTATTTTAAAGTTTCAGGAGAATACTAAAGTGGCTTAAAAACCAAGCATCTGTTCAGAACGGCTTATATTCAGATTTTAAATGGAAAACAAGAGTAGTTGGGATTATTCCAACCACAAAAACACAGGAAAAAATAGCTTGGGCCCAAATATGGGTAGGCTTTCCCAGCTCAGCTAAAAAAAACACATTTTATTTCATTTGACTTGCAAATATTTTGTCTTTTGCTCTATAAAAATTTCCTTGATACCTCATTATAACCTAATGATCCATCTGTATTTATGATTCCATTTTCTGTGTTTGTGTCAGGTCCACTATAAAGTATTTTTTATTTAGTTGGCTGCTATGTTGTAAGATTGGAGAAATTTGAAACTTCAATTATCTGCATTATATTCTGTAAGATACTTTTAATTAACTATGATTTGAAACAGACGTTATGTTAACAGAGACATTGCAAGTATTTTTTTGTTACCCATCAAAACAGATTGTTCCTACAATAAAATGTATAGGGACTAGTTTCATGATTTGTGAATGGTACCATTTACATTTTCAAGCCGTTTATTTGTTTACAGACCTCACTTCAAAATCCCTGTGTCTTATGATGGTATCTTTCAGAGAAACCTTCCTGGGTAGTCTCAAAATGAACCTGACATGATTGGTCACAGAACAACGGAAGGGAAGTTGCTTAGAAATCTGCAGGATAGGGTCACCATGGAAACGCGCCCTTGTGAGGTCCTTCTAAGGAGCCATCCTTTGCAGTCACCATGGCGACTCTGGCAGAGAACTGAATATAGCAATCTAGCCTGGTTGTTTACCATGGCAACTCTAGCAGAGCACTTTGGAGACAACCCTGGGGCCATTTCTATGGAGACATGCTGGGGCTGCCTTCAGAGGCTCCATCAGAGTCACCTTTGGGTGGTGTGCTATATGCAAACCCAGCAAAGTAACCTGTAATGAAAAGGCCTTTGAAATGAAGCTCTCCCAAGAAGGGCAAAGACTAGGGTAGTTACAATTATAGGGTGGAAATACAGCAGTGATGTAACATTCCAGAGGTCATGTTGGACATATCAGGTAACCTTTATGTGGGCTTTGCGGCATGTAAACACAAGTCTCTGGCTTTTTACATTGCTTGTAACTTTGTATATGCTGTAAATTGGCAGGAATGGCGTTCTTGTAGCCTTTTCTCATCACACAAATATGCCCACAAAAATTATGTGTTTCCCTGCAAACTAAAATATGTTTTAGAGTGAATTCCTTGATTTATTGCCTGGATAGTTACAAAAGTAGCTGCTTCTTAGAGTTTGTGGTTTGTAGTTCTTATCTCATAATAATAAAACTAATGGTTTCAAAATGACCTGAACTCAGTAAAGACTTTCAGAGAACTCATTTGAAGGTCAGCGTAGCTATTCATTTAGAGTTTTGTCATTTAGGCCTTGGAATTAGACCTACGATCAAGGGCCGGCCAAGTAGCTCAGTTGGTTAAGAGCTCACTCAAGAGTTCGAGCTCTGAGCAACAGCGGTTCGAGTCCAGCCCGAGCTGAGCAGCCGCTGAGCTGCCAACAGGTAGCAGGATGGCTCAGCTAANAAAAAAAAAAAAAAAAAAAAAGTAGACCTACGATCAAATCCTAGCTCATTTGCTTGTTAAGTCTGTGACCTAGGACACACTTCTTAGTTTCGTTTAGTCTCATTTAATTGTGTGTAATTTGGGGAAATTATTAGTACCTTTCTAATAGGCTCGTGTAAGGATTAAATGATACAGTGTAAGGAAATTATTTGGATCGTAGTAAGCACCAATAGTCATTAGGTGCTGTTATTTTGATGACTTTCTAGAAGTTATATTTGAGACAGATCCTGTAAAATGACTAAGGAATTGTTCTTTGAGGAGTAGGGAGGGTTTTGTATAGAGTGGATGTAAAGAAAAGTAGTAAAACCTCAAAAAGCATGCTAAATGGGCCACCAAGTGGCTTAGTTGGTTAAGAGCGCAAGCTCTGAGCAACAAGGTCACTGGTTGGATTCTCACATGGGCCAGTGAGCTGCACCCGAACTGAGCTGCCCTGAGCTGTTGACGGTCAGCCCGATAGCTCAGTGGTTAGAGCATGTACTCTTAGCAGCAAGGTTTCTGGTTCAACTCCTGCATGGGATGGTGGGCTGTGCCCACCTGCAACTAAGATTGAACACAGTACATTGAGCTGAGTGGCTGCATGTTGCCAATGGACAGCTGGATGGTGACTGGAATTGGAGCTGAGCTAGCTGCATCCTCTACAGCTAAGATTAAAGGACAACAACTTGGCTGTTCCCCTTAATTCCCCAACACTGTTCCCCTTCCCTAATTCCCCAATAAAATCTTCAAAAAAAAAGCATGCTAAACTGAGGAAAGCAGGTTGATTTGGGTACAGGGGAGATGAGGGAGGTGCCTGTAAACATGGCTGCAGTCACATTCGAGGGGAGCTGTGTTGTTTTGCAGGATGAGGAATACAGACTTGATTCTTCGGGCTGTGTGGGTCCAGTGAGAGCCTGAACTGAGAAGGTGGTAATGGAGTTGCAGAGGGGAGTACATTCGAGAAGATATGGATGGAAGGGGAACTCTGTAGCACTTAAAGAATGAGGGGCAGCCAATGTTTCAAGTTGTTAGTGACTCTCTAGCATTTTTAGCTTGTAAGGAGAGCAAATAGTGGCTTTCAAAACTGAACCATACTATAGAAAAGGAAGAAGAAAAATCGGATATGTGCCACTTTATGTCATGATGAGATGACATTTAATGTAGAGGTCTTCAACAAAATCTTCCAACAAAGGCTGAGTACCTACCATACGAGAGACACTATTCCAAGCCCTGGGGAGGCAGCCGTCATGAAAACAAGTCCTCATGAGGCCAACATCCTAGCGGATAGAGACAAAAAGAAATAAAGAGTTAATTAAAATGTGTAGTATATTGTCATATAGTGGTACGTGTGGGGATGTTGGGGAACAGTGAAATTTAAAATTAGGAGTCCGGGAAGGCCTTTGCAAGAAGGTGGTTACATAAAACCTGGAAGAGGTAAGGTCTTGAAGCCCATGAATACCTGGGAGAAGCATTTCAGGAGAGGGGCCAGAGAGAAAGCATGCCGGCACCTTCAGGACAAGCAAGGAGATCACTGT